GCGATGGCCCCGTCCATGGCGCGCGTAGCGCGCCAGGGGCGGCGCCGGAGGCGCCGCCGGCGGGGCCCTGGCGCCAATCCAAGGAATCCCGGAGCCGGGCCCTGGGGCCCTGGCGCTAAAGGCGATGCTCTCTTGCAGAGGGCGTGTGCTTTGTGTAGACCCCGTCTGTCTGCTCGATGCCAAGTTGCGCCTGTCATGTGTTTCCACGGTGCTCGTGCACGTTGTTCCTGGCGGGCCTTCAGGTCGGGGTCCTGCGTCAGTCCTTCGCGCAGGTCCGTGGTGCACGCTATGGATGTCAAAGAATCCGCCGACCCTGTCGGCGTGTGCGAGGGGCTTGGCTGTTCGAGTCGTCGTCTCCGTCGGTCGTCGCCTCCGTCGTCCCCTTTCCCTGCAGCTTCCTTCTCAAGCTCGTGAGCGAGAGAAAAATCGAGCAGTGTCGTAATCGAGTCGAAGGGAAGCCCCTTCCCTTCGATCCCTTCCCCAGGGGGGGGGGTCCCGGGGGGGGTCCCAGGGGGGGTGGAGGGGGGGGTCCCGGGGGGGGTCCTGGGGGGGGTGGGGGGCAGATTCGTTTTTCCTCGGGCGGCCTCGAAACCTCGAAAACACTCCAAATGAGGTCCGAATGCCCAAGATGGCCCCCGAGACGGCCCAAGAGGGCTCCGAGTCGCCCAAAGATCGGCCGAAAACGCCGAAGATAGCCCCAAGACCGTCCAAGAAGCCTCCAAGACGTCCCAGGCCCCCTCCAAGAGACCCCCAGGAAGCCCCAAGACGCCCCCACGAGGCTTCCAAGCGGCCCCTCAGAGCTTCCCAAGAGGCCCACAAACTACCCCCAAGAGGCCCCCAAGAGCGCTCGTCGTCGTCGTCGTCGTCGTCGTCGTCGTCGTCGTCGTCGTCGTCGCCATTCAGGGTCGGCGGCACCGGCCGTAAGGCCTTCGCAATCCACCCCTATGATGACCACCACGACACGCGAAGTCGTTTAGCAAACGCGCCCAAAGAGGGAATCAAACAGGGCAAAGCTGTTTAGTGAACGCCCAAGGCCGTTTAGTAAATGCCAATTGTCCGGTCCGGGTGGTTTTCTGAAAATCGTTTATCTGATCCCCCTCCCCAGCGACGTGGCCTCGGCCCCACTGGCCGATTTACCCCCCTAGATGGGGATATAGGCCGTCCCCTTCGGGCTCCGAGGGGTGTATCCCCCAACTAGGGCGGTAATTGGGGGGGGCCTCGAAGGGGATGAGCATGGGGATGGGGGTCGGATTAACGATGCTGGTTTTCCCTCCCTGCTAAGAGATTCTGAGCTTTGTGTCTGAACTTCCCGTCATAACTTCGTGTCTGCCATCCGTGTCTGCTGCGTGTGCCTGTTCTCTGTCTGCTCCGTGCGTCTGCCATCTGCTCACACAAACTGACCTGGCGCGCCGCCCTGGAGGCGCGGCTGCGCCAGGGAAGCCAGACTAATTAGTTAATTCGGTGACCATCCTCCTCCTCCTCCTCCTCCTCCTCCTCCTCCTCCTCCTCCTCCTCCCCCTCCCCCTCCTCCCCCTCCTCCTCTCCCTTCGGCCGCGGGGCGCCCTGCTCGCATGTTAAAAAAAAGCGTGGCGGCGGCACACTCAGGGACGCTCGGCGCCATTGGGGCCCGGCGGCCGCGGCATGCGGGGCGGTTCTCAATCGTCACTCGTCGAGCCACACGTCGACGAGTTCCGAGACCACTCGGGGGCTCCTGAGGCCCTGGCGGTCGAAGTACGAGCGCGACGGGACGGGCGGGGCGGCGCCTAACGCATCGACCTGTCGGGTGGCGAGAAAAGGCACCGCGCTTGGAGGGCGATCCGGTTTTTCAAATCGCGCTCTCGCTCGAACCTTTCCCCGCGCATTGCGATCCGCATGGTTTGACCACTGTACACTCAGCTTGACGCTGCTCACCGACTCATGGCGCCACTGTTTGCTATTCCACCAGCTGTGCGCGTAGATGTGTTGATTATCTCTCCCCCTCTATCTCTCATATTACCCCCCAATATCACAAACAATATGGCTTCTCCCCAGCCAGCAAAGCACTAGACCACCTCATGTTTGGACACAATAGGGAGATTCGCCTGGACACCCCCTCGCTCTTTAGGACAAGGGCACCCGACGTGCCGAACGGTTACCAGCATGGAGGGCCGCTGGTGCCGCGGACCGAATCCTTCAAGTACCCCATGGGTTTGAATGGGGGATGACGCGCCTTTGCACGTGGTAATGTGTCGTGCCTCACTCTACCCTCCTCCTCCTCCTCCTCCCTCCTCCTCCTCCTCCTCCAACTCCTCCAACTCCTCCTCCTCCCCCTCCCCCTCCCATTCCTCCTCCTCCTCCTCCTCCTCCTCCTCGTCCTCCTCCTCCTCCTCGTCCTCCTCCTCCTCCTCCTGCTCCTCCTCCTCCCCCTCCTTTTCCTCCTCTTCCTCCCCCCCCCCCTGCGATGACGACCCCCCCTTCTCGGTAGGCGCGCGACCAGCGGTAGTCCCGGGAGGTTGCCCATTTCGTTCAGGGTGTCCTCGCGGGTACCCTCCCCCCCGCGCTCGCCCGCCGACGTTGAGTCGGGCACCGCGAGCAACTGCGCGACGCGTCGACGGGCCCATCTCCTGCACCCCGCCCCTGCTCCTGCTTCTCCTCGTCATTCTTGCTCCTGCTCCTTCCCGCCCTTCTTGCTCCTCCAAGCCCTTCTTGCTCCTTCCCGCCCCTCTTGCTCCTGCTCCTCCCCGCCCCTCTTGCGCACCGCCCCTGCTTCCTGGTCCTCCCCGCCCTTCCTGCTCATCCCCCGCCCCTCCGTCGCTTCGCGCCTCCCGCCTGCACCTCTCGGGGCAAGCTGCGGGCTCTCAAACGCAAAGAAGGCAGTGCAGCGGAGGCGACGCTTTCCGCCTAGCCTCGGTCGCCAGCAGCTTCAGGCCGCCGTGCCAATGCCAAATGCCAATGCACATCCAATTCACCCAATTCAATGGTTTCTTATCCAATGCCCTCACCGTGCATTCCAGTCTACCCCAACTCGGGAATTCAACCTCCAGTGCGCACCACGCATGACAAAAAGGAAGGGCAGCGTGGGAGGAAGGATGGGCGGGACCCCCGACCCTCTTATCTCCTAGAGGCCTCCTAGATGGGGTTCCAGTGGGTGGGGTCGGAGGATCTCGCCGCATCGCCAATGCATCGCCGATGCATCGGCGCCATCGGCGTGGGGAAAAGCAGGCTCCGCATCGAGAAGCATCGCCGATGCATCGTCGATGCGGCACCATCCTCCGGCCCCATCTACTCGGACCCCATCTGAAATCCTAAATCCTCCCATGCACCACCTCCAAAAAGGTACAAGGGAGGAGGAGGAGGAGGAGGAGGAGGAGGAGGAGGAGGAGGAGGAGGAGGAGGAGGAGGAGGAGGAGAAGGAGGAGGAGGAGGAGGAGGAGGATCACAAGGTCGGCGGCGAGCGAGAGGGGACAACGAGAAGGGGTGGACTTTCTCAGGAGGCTCGGACGCCTCTCTCTCAGGAGGCCCGGCCTTCTGAGAAGTGTCCCAAGCTTTCACGGCAAACTTCTCAGGAAGCGCGAGGAGGAGGAAGAGGAGGATGACGAGGAGGAGGAGGAGAAGGAGGAGGAAGAGGAGGAGGAGGAGGCAGGGGAGGAGGAGGAGGAGGAGGAGGAGGAGGTGGAGGAGGGGGGACCCACCGTCTTCTGAGAAGGCCTTCTCCCTCTCGCTTCCCCCCCCGCGCTCGCCGCCGACGAGGAGCAGGCCGCCACGCCACACATCGCTCCTGCACCTCCTCCGCCCGCTCCCCTCCCCTCCCTTCCCCCCCGCCCTCGCTTTCCGCCCCCTCCCTCAGACTCCTGTGGCCAGCGGCCGCCCCCACTCCCCGATGTGCGCCCCCACCGCCGGCCGAGGACTACTGGGCGCCGCTTAATGGGGGAGCGCTAAGTGGTCGGGGAGACGGGAAGACTCGGAATCGGGGGGAGTCGGGTTGGCCTGACAGGGCCATCCTGAAAATGACGAGACCCAGTCTGGACTTTGACGCGAGCTCCCGCTGCAAGCATCCCACGAAAACGGGACCGTCAAAATCCATAACGCGCTCTTCAAGAAGCGTCGGCACACCGGAGCTCTGGCGTACTCGAGTCTCACGTTTCCCCGCCATGGGAGGGGAAGACAAGAAGGGCCCCGAAGGTCCCTTCTGGGCCCTAAGGGCCCCTCTACGGGCCCTAAAGGGCCGCTTGTCTGCAGCCTTCGGTGCCCTTCAATTGATTCGCCCTGCCATGACGCGACGCCCAAGACTAGATCCTCCCACCCGCGCCGGGAGCTCACGGGCGACCCGTCAAGTCGCAGGACCATCCTCGAATGCACCACCCCAGAGCAGGCCAACATTGCCCCCTCCTCGGGCACACGAGCGTCGTTGCCCCCCACGCGAACAAAGGAAGCCGCGCCGAAGGCGAGCGGCACGCGGGGACCTCGCGCGGCAGCGTTGACAGAGAACGTGCTGCTCGCCACCCCAGCGCTAGCGCGGCCAAGTAGGAGTTCCGTTCCCGCACCCAAAGCGGCAGTGCTTCAACCAGAGATCGACCTAACAAATGCTGCTCGAGCTCGGTGTCCCTCGTCTTGTCTTCAATCCGCCTTTGCCGCAAAACAAAATCGGAACGAAAACGGCCCACGCAATCGACGAAAACACCGTTCAGGTCGACCCACGGCTTGAGCTTCACGGACGGGCCGCCTGCTGATGACAGCCTGGGATCGATCGCGCGCGGGGGGCGCTGTCGCAGCGCAGTGGGCTACGCATCAGACCTGGCGGGCAGAACGCACGCCCAGCCCTCCAGGAGGCCCTTTTTTGCGCCAGAAGGCTTGGCCTCACGTTGCCAAACATCCTCTGGCAAGCTAGATGCTACCTGCAGGGCCAGCCTTCTGGTGATGAGAAAGTCTGGGCGTTGGAGAATTGCCCTCGAACGACTTGAACCCGCCATACACTGGACAACCACGGCACAACCATCAGGACAGTCCTTGGGACGGTCTCCGGGGCAACCAGCAGGACAACCAGTAGGACAACCAGCAAGACAACCAACAGGAAAACCATTGGGACACCCGCGGAGCAACCACGGGACAACCGCAATACAATCGCGGCGTAACCCCAGGCACGCCCCGGCGCCCAGGGAAGCTAGTTATTTTGGCCCAGACGTGGGCAACGCAAGGGCAGGAACTCGCGCTGCTTCACTTCGCCCGCACGTCTCCCTCTCTCTCTCTCGCTTTATTCCTCCCCAGCTCGACTCTCCATTCCCTCTCTCCCACTCCTGCTCTCTCCATCCCGCCACACTTCCTCCCCAGCCCGCCTCTCCATCCCTCTCTCCCACTCCTGCTCTCTCCCTCCCGCCCCGCTTACCCCTCCGCCCCTCCTGCTCCTGCAGGTGCTCATGCCGGTGCTCAATGCTCCTCGTCCTGCCCCTCCTTCTGTCCCTCCTGCCGCCTCGTGCCCTCATCATTCCGCTGATGCTCCCCGGGATTGACAAGCAAAGCCGTGAAGCCTCCTCTGGTGTGTAGTAGCGCCGCCGCCGCGCCGCCGCCTCCCGCTACGACCTAACCCAGTCAACTATGCATGCTCGCTCGCCCGATGATGCTGCCCAAACTGTTCGTGCTCCTCCGCCCTCGCCGTCTCCGCCGTGGGCGCGACGGCGACGGAGCGGAGGGGCGGTCCTCAAGGTCGAAGGGGCCGTCCTTGTCCTTGCCCTTGCCCTTGCCCTTCTTGCCCTTCCCCTTGTCGCCGAACGGGTCGCCCTTCTTGCCCTTCTTGCCCTGCGCAGCTGGCGAATGAGAACAAGGCAAGGCAGCCGGAGGAGGAGGAGGAAGAGGAGGAGGAGGAGGAGGAGGAGGAGGAGGAGGAGGAAGCCCACCGCACCACCACCACAACCAGCGCAGGGTGCCAGCCAGGGTCCTCCCGGTGGTGCGGTCACCCGCCTCGCGCGAGGCATCGCCGGGGGAGACGCCGCGGATCTCTGCGCTGAATGTGCCCCCTTGGCGGTGGCGTCGCCTCTCCGAGTGAACTGGGGGCTGGGGGGTGGGCAGACAAGAGGGACATTCGGGGATGGGCAGCACCCCCTTTAGTAAAACGTGGTTCAGTGAAAACGACCTCTGGCCCAAGCCTGGCGGGCGCAAGCTTAGAAAATGACGGCCGCGGCGCCCTCTCGAGAACCGAAAACGGACAATTCGCTAATCGACGTGTCAGGGTGGGGGGTTTGTCCACCCCCGAGACATGCGCAAACAGAATCATTCAGAACTCCGCGAGGAATTCTTGGGTCGGTGACCCCCCCTCGCTGACGCGCGGAACGCCGCCAGGGGGGTCCAGCGCCGATCTTAGAGATCCGCCCAGAGCTCCCAAATGTTATGTTTACAGTGCGGGCGCGGTCGCAAGAAACCCTCGCAAGACACCTAGCATTGAACCCGCAGGCGCGAGGTGCAAGTAGGGGGAACCTTTGGCGCCCAGAACGCATCGGCTTCTTCGACGGTCGCGGGAAGTCACTGCGCAGCGCGCGGAGCGAAGAAACCCAGTGCACCCTGACGAAAAGCGTCTGGTTTCTTGATGCGCGCCCCCACTGTATACACGTAGTTGTTGCTTCTCCGGCGAGAGGGGGAGCCTTCCTCCTCTTCTTGATGCAGCGAAGTCCTTCTCCTCCTGCCTCGTCGTCCTCCTCCCCCCAAGAGATCCGCCTAGCGCTCCGGAATGTTTATGTCTGTGTAGTTGTCTCTTCTACAGCGGGCGGGGGGCTTTCTTCCTCTTCTCGATCCAGCGAAATCCTTCTTCTCATGCCTCGTCGCCCTCCTCCCAAGAACTCTGCCTGAAGCTCCCAAATGTTATGACTGAGTAGTTGTGCCCTCTCTGGCGGGGGGACAACCTTCCTCCTCTTCCTAATCCATCGAAGCCCTTCTTCTCATACAGTCGGACTTGATTGGAGAAGACACGCGAACAAGACCCTTCCGAGGGCCACATCGTCATGGGAATGTAAGATAGCATTGGTCGCGAGGCACAGGACACAAGGGTACTAGTACCCTTGATCTGACAGGTCGTCCTCCTCCTCCCCCCCGGGGGCGCGGAGGGGAGGCTGCGGAGGCATGGACGCGCAGCGACGGGCACTGTGGCCAGGGAGCTCTAAACGAGTACCCCCTGCCAGCCTGAAGACAAGACACCCAAAAGTGCCAGCAGTGTGCTCTATGTTGTGGAAAACGAATACCAAAAAAGCTTGCACAACCCCTTGCACAACCCTCGCATGACCACCTCTCGCAACCCCTCGCACCACCCCTCCAAAACTTTTTCCTTTCGCAGCATACAGGAAGCGCGCTGTTTCGCTGGCACTCTGTGGACCAAATCTCAGCCGGGGAGGTCCGCAGCCCGCCACCCTGCACTGCTCCGCCCCCGGGCGCATAGCGGCGGGCGACGGCTGTGGACCCTGGGGACCGGTGGGCGGGCCAGGCCTATCGCCTGAGACTTCCGCTTTGCCCGTGACCCCGAAGCTCGGAATCTCCCCC